GGGGGGGAGGAGGAGGAGGGCGGGGGGCTGTAGGAGGGGAGGAGGCTTCGGGCGGCAAGAATCGCTCATGCCGGGCGCCGGTGGAGCGATATCTGCTCGGTTTTGTCGGTGCAAGTCCCAGGAGCTACGTATTTAGTTTGAGGTTTGCCTGGGTGTTTGACGGGAGTCTTTGATCTACACGTCTGCGGCTAAATAGTCACTTCGGGACTCGGTTCTTTGTATCGCCCTGCCGCCCTCGGCAGGTGCAGGATCCTGCTCCGGCAGATCTGCGACATCAGCCCCCGTGTCGGCTTCTTTCTGCCCAATACCGTCTTGCAATTACATTTTAGGTAAACCCAGTAATTCAGTAGCAGCGACGTTGTCCTTTGAACAATTTTTCTAATACCTTAACGAGAAATAACTTTAGGACCATCTTCAAAATGTATTCAAGTTCTGTGAAAAGAGTTCGTCCTTCAGGGATCCTGTGCTAAAACCTGTTGGTTGGCAGGTGAGTGGCTCTGGTGTGATGGAGTTCTGGGGAAGGGGATAGAATCCTCCCAAACACGTTTTCCTGCTCCCTGCCTAGTTTGTGCAGAAGGCAAGAGTGATCTGGTGATCACAGAGTAGACTGGTCTGCAACTTAATGGTTCAAACATAGACTATGTGATTTTGTGCAAATTGCTTAATTTCTTATGTCTCATTCCTCTGCTTGTAAAGTGAGAAATGAACATGTGCCTATTTACCAAAGTCATTTTGTTTGACATATCTTTATTAAACAGAACCTAGAACAGAAAATTGTGGCTTTGCTATTCTCTGTTTGGTGGAACTGCATGTGACATGAAGAGGAGCTGAGCTGAATTTAGGAAAGACTGCAAATGCCTTGTTGAATGCAGCAGTTCTACATATCTGCAATTTATTTTTAAATACTCTGCTCTTTTACACTGAGTGCTGTAATAGTCTTCCCAGTGCCTTAAGGGAAATGGACGGACTGTTCAGCTGGATGATGGGATAGACCTCAATCCATTTTTAAACCGGACTTTATGTTTTTAATAGCTTTCTTCCTTTCTTACTAATTAGTCTGGTACTTCAGTAATCCATGGGACATTTAGAACATCAAGTAGAACTTAGTTTTCTTAGCATAAGTGTTAAGTAATGTCCTAGTTCAGTATTCCTTATCAAAGTTTATTGATAGCTATGTCCACAGAAACGTTAGGTGTAGTTACTATATTACCATGTTGTATTCAACATATTTTTCAGGTTATTTAAACAATTTTCAAATTTTTTGTTGCCAGTCAGGAGTGCAAGGGTCATATTTGAATCGGTTGTTCAGAGTAATTGAGATTATACAGAGAAGTGTTTGCTAAGTAAAGCCAAAATGCCTTGACATTCTTCATACACTAGAAATTATACGCTTTTCCTTCATGTTTTTGTTTACTTTAGCTTAGCACTTGCCTGCATTGAACCATAGATCTCTATAGGATAAATTTATGATTCCTGCCCCCCCTTAGAACTGCCAGATATATACTGAAACTTGCATGCATAAGCAACTACCTCTTTCTGACCTGGTTATTATCCTTGAGGAACTGCTAAAACCTTAGGAAAATGGTAAGTTTTGTACATTTTTTGTTAAGAACTTACAATGCAGCAAGTTGTTTAATACATTAAAGTGTATCCCAATGATATTTGAACAGTATCTTTTAGTTAATGGCTAATTGTGGAATATATTTTCTAGTTTAATCTAGCTATTGCCTGCCACATACAAACATTTGAATTTACAGTCTTACCACATAGAGCCTTATGTCTCTATAATTGAAGTGCATTGTTGGGTGCTCTGAAATCATTGCTTCCTCCTAATTACTGTTTTTTGAAATGATTTGGAGAAGGAATGAAAAGGGTTACCTGTTTGATTGGATTCCAGCTTAGTATTGAACCAAAAGAGCTCGTTAGTTGTATGGGTCAAAAAGACCAGTAAAGAAATATTCTTCTTCTCAATGGTTCTAAATGTCTTTTGCATTTACTTTTATTTGGCTTCATTTAAAGTTTATTTTTAAGTTAATATTAAAGCATTAGTCTTTTAGTATTATTATTTATTTATTTGTATTAATCCCTTAGCCATAGTAAATATTGACAAGTGTTTCTAAGTAAGGGGGAAAATTGCAGTAGTGCATACATCTTGATGTCATTTTTTCAAATTCTTAGGCCCATACTCCATTGTGAGTACAAATTCAGTAGAGTTCCCTTCTTGCACAAAAAAAACCCAAGAGATATGTGAGTGGAAATTTGCAGGATCTTAATTTTTCTTGCCCTGGTAGTGATACTTATCATTAGAGTCTCCTGTTAGGCTTAGAATACATATAAAGTTTGTTAACATATAATTGT